ATCTCACATCATTCGGTCCTCCTGCTTCTCGAAATGGCAGTCCCTGGCCAGGATTCTCAAATCCGTTAGCCACGTTGTGAAGGGCTCTTTCACTCCTTGCACTCTGGTTCTGAAGCTGTAAGCGCCGAATTGCTCCGATTCTCCCTTCAAGAATCCCTCCGTTAGAATCCGCACCACTGTTTCGTAGTGGTCCGCCGGTCGAGCTATGGCAGCCGTTGGCTCGGGGAAGTCTATCGCGCTGTACTCCACCTCGCTTTCCTTAGGGGACTCAATATTTCTGTCGCGCATTTATCAGGCCGAGACTAGACCCTGCGTGGCATGTTCGTTGCGGAGGAACGGCGTAAAATTGCGCAGCAGTGATTTTCCTTGTAGCGGTGATCCGACGAGTATGTCTCAACTCCAGACGATTCTGGTGTCAGATCTTTGACAAGATTGACCTGGATCTGAACTGGCCGTTCGGCTCTTTCTACCAAGAAGCTTCTGAAGGATGACCTCTCCATCTTCGCGATGTGTGTGTGAATTTCTCCCGGTGCATTTTGGGATGGTTTCGGCCAGGAGCCCGTTGGTTCTAAGGTGAAACGAGGACCTCTCAACCATTCACTCCCGATGAACTCTTCAACGTATATGTGGTCTCGAAGACAGACACCAACTCCACCAGCACTCTCATACTTGCCAAATTGAGAGTAGCGCCATTGAGAAACGAAGGGATGCCCCGGTTGGAACTAATGGCTCTGAAAACGGCAGCAGAGGCGCCTAAAGTCCCGCGTATGACGAACCTCTAATTTTGAAAAATCGCCCCTCGTGTAACGAACCTTCCGGATAACGAGCTCCGCGTATAGGGAACCATCCGGATAGCGAACCTCTCGTATAAGAAACCTTCCTTATAGCGAACTTCACGCACACCGAGAGTCTACCCAAACTAGGCAGCGATCGCTCATCGTGACACGACGTGGATAATTTGAGGAATTTTGGAAAATCTGAGAACACTGCAATGGTGCGAGCTTCATCGGGCTTTATTTGTGCTTCTCGATTCCGATTATGTTCGGCGGGAGCTCTCATTTCGAGATTCGAGACTCTGCCAGTATCGACTTGTGGAGCGCTCGTTTGATGCATGGCTCGGTCTGTGAACACATCTGGTCTGCGAAATAGTTTCGAATAATCCGGCCTCAGAGTTGGTCTAAAGTCGCCCCATCTAAGGGAGAGCGTGGCGAAATCGGGAGCAGCATCCTTATTCTTCAAGAATTGTTCGGCCCTCTACAGAGGAATCGTATGCATGGATCATTTCGACACGAATGATGTCTCGATACCGCAAACGAGGATCGAATGATGTCAGAGGCCAGTTCCCAACAGGCGCTGGACAGAGCAATGAGGACGATGAGCGGTCGAATCACTCGAGCCTACAGAACGGTTACCCTGGAAGCAGCACTGGTTCTGGCCAAAACCGTGCCGTGGTCCTTACTGGCCGAGGAGAGAGCAGAGCTCTATCGAGCGCAGAGGAGAACGACGACGATGCCCGCCACGCCTCCTCCGGATGCAGAACCTGAGGGGGTTGGCAGGGAGAAATCCATCGATAAATGGCAGGTGCGCTGGGAAGGGGGCTCCACCGGGGCATGGACGAGGTTCTGCATCCCGAACATCAAAAGATGGCTTGAAAAGAGTGGAGAGCTCACGTTCTAGACCACACAGATGCTCACAGGACACGGCAATTTCCAGGCATACCTGGCCAGGATAGGGAAATCGTCGTCGGAGGACTGCCTCCTCTGCGAAGACGGAACCCCGGGCGACGTGGAGCACACCGTCCTTCGCTGCAAAGCTCTCGAAAAGGGGAGGAATAATCCCCTCGCGAACAGCATTCGATCACTCGTGGAGAGAATGCTAGAGGGAGAAAACGAATGGAAGGATATCTCGAACACGGTCGACAACATCATGAGGAGGAAAGCTCGGTTGACCAAGAAACGACGACACGAGTCCTAGAGACGCAGTAGAAGACTCCTCGCTGAGGGCCTGAAGTAATACTTACCGAAAGTTCCCAGGTCTCAGTGAATAGAAGGGGAGGGGTTTAGTGGGTGAGGGCCCCACACTGCCTGGCGGAGGTAGGCCTTCCAGCGGATCGGATCCGCGGATCCGGATCCGCGAGACCCGCATGATTTTCGCGGATCTGAATCCGCAAGATCTGCAGGATTTTTACGGATCCGAATCCGCGGGATCCGCACGAGTTTGTTCCACGAATTCCACGAATGTAGGGGAAAACCATCGTACATACATAGTAGTCGGGAGGAAAGCGACCATTAATCGCGTTTCTCCGATGGAGGAAGCAGGTAACGCGAGTCAGGAATTTCCCATTTCGGTTCGGAACCTCTCGTCTCAAAACTGAGGGCTTGTTCCCTCACTCATTTCCCGCCGACATGACGGCTCTGCATGTCGGACTTCGCTGCGACTTATGACCGGGATCCGGCCGATAGCAGCTGAGAGACAACTGTTCATACCACATGCGCAAGCGTTCTTATTCCGCAGTTCGTGATCTGGACTGCTCCCCGCGAACAAGTTTGTAGAGCCTAAAATTATCGAGAATAAACTGCAGCCCTCCTGCCGGTACGAGCCCGTATATCCATTTTTGTTGTTCTCCTTGTATTTAGACGGAGCATTCCTCATCATGGAGGACTTCAAGGTAGCGACGGATCAGATGAGCTGGGTTTGGAAACATTCCTTGGAGAGTTCCAAAAGCGGAAAATGCATGAAATGCTTCAGGGTAGGCTCCGCATAAATATCATGAACATGTGGAGATCAGCAGCGAATCCGCAGAGAACTGTACATAAGTTGTACACATGTATACGTATTTTTTTCTGGATCCGGTTTGGTGCGGATCTTATCCGCGGATCCGAGCCCAACGGATCCGCGGATCCGGGATCTGCGGATCTCAAAGTTCACGGATCTTCGGAAGGCCTAGCTGGAGGTGAAACTCGTCCCAGACGTGCGGTTAGGCATTCCCCTCCTCTAACCAAAAAAAAAAGGCTGGTTCACCCGAAAGTTCATCAATGACTATGATTGGAGAATGATTTTAAGATTTTAGCGAGCCGGATATTGAGATCCGAGTACCTATATCATGATACAAGCTACGACTGAATGCAATCGCACGCCTCGATTCCCATCAGGATATTTTCCTAGAAATCTGCCAAGACGAGCTAGAGGAGACGGATCCGATATGGAGAGTCCTAACTCACGAATGATGTCTCACAGCAGAAAGCAAGCCCCGAAAGTCTTGTCGTCGCCATCGTCCAATGGGGGTCACTCATCCTCCTCCGTATCACTGGGCGTCCCTTTTGAATCGTATCCGAATTCACTGTCCGATAGGGGGATTGGAGGGTCATCGGAATCGCCTGTCATCTGCGAGTTGCTCGTACTGCTGGTCCCTGATGAGCTGGATTCTTGATATGCGGGACCGAGTCATTTGCTGAACCCATTGATGACGACTTCCACAGGGACAGCTTCGAAAGCATCCTGGATAATCTCTGCGAGTTCCGAGTAGCTCATCCTCCTTCGCTTTCCGGCCGCAGTGTAGGACGCGCTTCCCTCATCGGCCATCCATTCCTCCCACAATATTCTCAGTCGGTTCTTGAATGCTTTGTTAACACTCACGTCTAAAGGTTGGCAAAATTTTGTGAGTCCGCCGGGGATCACGGCAACCCTAGGGAGAGACTCCATTCTTTCAGAACGCGTTCTGTCAGATGACAGGGGGCCGAGTCCATGATCATGAGAGATCTGTTGGGGTTCGGATCAAAGAACTTACGCTTGCTCCAGACTTCGTTCAACCACTCAACCATGAGACTTTCATTCATCCATCCTTTTGACGTCGAAGACGTCATAGCTAGAGACCGGGACTTCATGCAAAATGCATATAACGCATAAAATGCATGTTTCGGGTTTTTTTCATCGAAAACGCATGTATCGGACTTTGTGGCATAGTTCTGCATATATCGTAGCTCTCCCACCGATTCCTGCATCAACTGCAGTTCAAGTGCGGCGAGCGGCCGATAGTCAATCAGGAAAAACAGCGTGGAGAAATTCAAGTTTCTCGCCTGTCTCAGTTGTTACCGATCGAGCTTGTTCAAACAGAGAATTTCCATGAATGAGGCGACATGGAGAGTACACGCGGTTTGATGGCGTGGTCCGCGTGCGACGTGCGCGTTCGATGCTCGCAGTCAGCTGACCTTTCGCGTGGTCAGCAGGTTTCCTTCGTGTTCGTGAGGCAGGCTGAGAAGGAAAAGAAGTGTGCGCTCACGGTATAGAGCTCAAGATGCCTGAAGTTCAGAGCGTCGCGACACACGAAGCTTGAGTCTTACGTCAAAGACTTCGGAAGTGACATAATTTCTACGGACGGAGTAGTTCTCCTCTGCCGAGTTTGCGAGAAAGAGATCCGCGTCGATAAGAAGTTCCAAGTGACTCAACATCTTAATGGCCTGCAGCATAAGTCTGCCGAACAGAGGAAGCTCGAATTGAACTCAAGCAAAGTGGTGCAACTGACGAGTTTCGTGCAAGCTTCAGGGAAGCTCTCTCAGTTTAGTATC